CCCTCAGCGCTGGCTCAGCCCGACTCTTCAACCCCTCCAGGGATCCCGGGGACTCCCCCCTGCCCTGGGCAGCCCATTCCAACGCCCAACAGCCCCTTCTGCACAGAAATCCTTCCTCAGAGCCAGCCTGACCCTGCCCTGGGCAGCTTGAGGCCATTCCCTCGGGGCCTGGCGCTGGGGCCTTGGCTCCAGAGACTCATCCCCCCTCTCTGCCCCCTCCTGGCAGGGAGTTGCCGAGGGCCAGGAGGTCTCCCCTCAGCCTCCTCTTCTCCAGACTGAACCCCCCCAGTTCCCACAGCCGCTCCGTGCTGCATCAGTGGGACCCCAAGGCTCAGCAGAGCAAAAGAAGTCTGGTTATTGTTTCACACAGAGCGACACACACCTCATGACCCTTCTCTAGCCTGACACTACCCAGTGATGTGTTTTGGGGCAGCATTCCTTGCAGGTGGCTCTGGAGGGGGACATACCCACAGCCAGTGCCCCCCCCCGGAAGGGATGCAGCCAGCAACGAGATGACAAACCCCTCAGCCCATCAAGCACAGGCTCCACAGCAACACAAAAAAAGAACAACCCAAGCCATTTCCATTTACAGACCAGTCCTACATCCTGACCTCACAGAGACACGCTCTGGGTTACCAGGTTCTGCACATTTCCAGGCACTTAAGGAACTTAACCCAGAATTCAGGAATTTAACCCAGATGTGGCTGCTGCCTCTGACTGTCTCCTGCCAGAAACACATACTTAGCTAAAAATCAGATTTTCATGGCATTTGAATACCACAAGGCAGATCTACACTGAAAATACTGGCACTCCCTGCTCAAGTCAGACAGCAGAACTATGCCGAGGGGCAATTACACTGATCTACATGTGTAATTACCCAATATGCAAGAGTCACAGTATTCGCATGATGCAAATTAAGCGTGTTTTGCAAGCATGCTGGATAGCTAAGTTCTGTAATTCTCACCCAATGTTACTGCCTGGCTTCCAACACTTTCAGAAATGCCTGTTCATCTACTGGGAACTTACAACATCTCAGTCACCAAAGAGTGATTTCACTGGGAAACTCGTAGAAACACGGGAAACTTTCTGATATTTCTATTTAGAAGACACTGTCATCACCTGCCTCAAATCCAGAGTCCCACGTGCTGCCGAGGTGAGCGGGACAGCCCAGGCAGAGCTTCCAGCTGACCCACAGGCAGAGCCAGGCCCCTCGCCCGGGGCCAGCCCGCGGGGCCACCAGGCTGCTGCTGCCGAGCTCAGGGAAAAGGAAAACCCCCGCTGGCTGCCTGGCTCTCGGCTGCGTTTGCACGTCAGGTCCAAGCGCACGGAGGGAGTTTCACCCGGCGCTTGCACGGGCCGTCGTTGCACGTACCCGGTCGGCCCCGGTCGCGTGGTGGCTGGTGTGTTTGTGGGTATCTGCACATTCTGAAGTGCTGACTCACTGCAAAGGCACATTTATCTCCAGACGCTTGGTTCAAACAGGGGAACTAAAAGCACTGGTAATGCACAAGGCTTCCAAGCAGCTGCCCATTGAGAAGAAAACCCCCCCTCTGCCTGCTCACATCTCTGCTTTGTTTATTCCTTACGTTTCACCTGTTTCATGCTGTCTGATTTTAAGTTGGGATTCATCCAGCCACAGCTTATCTACATTCTTAATTTGTACTTTTAATACCATCAACACGCCTGCCTTGGTTTCTGCTGTCTCTCTCCTCGACGCTACCCACTCCCTTCTCGTCTGAACCTCCACATTCCCACACCTGCTCTCAACACGCAGCTCTCTCGAGCTGCACAGCAAGCAGCACTGCCGTTACTTCTGAAAGCTTCCTCGGTGCTGCACAACCCTGGCTCTTGTACAAATGAGCCAAAAAAAGTTACACAAGCACCGAGGAAACGTGTGCAAAACCACTGTATAAACCAGAACATTTTAGAGAGACTCCAAGTGTACGAAAAAAAACATTCTCTCCAGCAGTGGCAGAATTTGTGCCGCGCTGCAGGGTCTGTCACAGAGCAGCAAGAGCTCGTGACTGTGATGGAGCGTGTCCTGTGCAGAGGCCGTAGGAGCAGGAGGACTGACCTGGGTGTAGGTGCAGTTCTTCTTCTTGCATTTTCCACAGGTGAAGAGGTCAGTCTGCGTCCCTCCTGTCTTGGCCATCTGATGCTCCCGGATTGCTTCTTTTGTCATGGCTTTCCTGATCTCTTTCAGCTCGTTACTCGCCATTTCCTTGAAAAAAAAAAAAAGCAATAAAAATCACATCTGTCCAGTTTTACCACCACACCCACTACCATGGAAAGAGTCTGCAGGACAGGGTAACCTAACATATGGGTATTAAGACCAAAAAATCTTTCATTCCTGGTTTCTGGTTCACCCCTAGCCCACCACGATGATCTAAAGCACCAGACTACTCTCCACACTGCAAACCCCACCACTCGCTCACTCCCCATGCACTCTGGCAGCAGCCACTGAGAAATCACAGAATCATCTGGGTTGGAAAAGCCCCTGAAGCTCCTCCAGCCCAACCATGACCCTCCCCCTGACCGTTCCCAACTCCCCCAGATCCCTCAGCGCTGGCTCAGCCCGACTCTTCAACCCCTCCAGGGATCCCGGGGACTCCCCCCTGCCCTGGGCAGCCCATTCCAACGCCCAACAGCCCCTTCTGCACAGAAATCCTTCCTCAGAGCCAGCCTGACCCTGCCCTGGGCAGCTTGAGGCCATTCCCTC